GTTTCCCAAAGCTTATAAGACATAGATTGGGCTACATAGCAAAGCTGAAACATCCCTATTTATAAACAGTGCTGCATTATGTGCAATCCTTACATCACTCAAAAGTCCAAGCACGAATTTTAAACACTTATTCTGTGTGTAAATCCGCCGGCTCACTATATTTAAAAATATTTTGAGCATATAAAAAAATACTCAAGTTTGTCTACTTTTAGAAAAAACTGTTTTGTTTTCATTATAGTGCAGTCGACTTCATAACATTGAACCTCTGATCAACACTTATAGTGTTTCTGCTCTCTGTGCAGAGCAGTCTGAATGCAGCGGAGGGGATGGGCGTGGCCTCTCTGAGCGTCATCTACGCCTCCATCATCATCTCCTCCATGTTTCTCCCTCCCATCATGATCAAAAACCTGGGCTGTAAATGGACCATTGTGGTTAGCATGGCCTGCTACGTGTCCTACTCGTTGGGAAACCTCTACCCAGGATGGTAATCAACCAGACAATCAATTAAAAACAATAAATGAATGAGGCTAATTGGGGTTCTAATTTTTTTTAATGTCTGTTATTAAAGATTATTTTTGTAATACCCAACTGCAACACGTCTTGTCCAATAACCTCATTGGCTAATAAAAAGTCTTGAAGCTGAGACCAAGTGTTGCTTTGCTCTCTCACACAGGTACACTCTCATCCCCACCTCAGTGATCCTGGGGTTGGGTGGCTCTCCTCTGTGGTCGGCTAAATGCACCTACCTGACCATATGTGGGAACGTGCAGGCCGCCAAAGACAACAAAAAAGGCTCTGACATGATCAACTACTATTTCGGCATCTTCTTTTTCATCTTTCAGTCTTCCGCTGTTTGGGGAAACCTGATGTCTTCGCTCATCTTTGGACAGGACACAGCTATTGGTAGGCAGCAGAAAAGTGGTCACATTTTGATTAAATTGAACCAGGACTGGTTTAATTGCCTCATTAATTGTGCATTGAAAGTTGTACAATGTTAACTTTTTGGGGTTGCAGTGTGCAGTTTTATTTGTTTATACCAGTAAGTTTAATTCCTCAGTGGTAAGCTTGAAAACAGCGTGCAACATTTTGCCACATTTATTTCCTTATTTATCATTGAAATGTTGTACGTGTGCAGTGGGGTTTCAAGTATTTGAAAGTATTATTTATGAAGTATTTTCTCTCATTCAATGGGCAAGCCTATCAGCATTGTTCCATATACAAACCCTGCAGTATTAAACCGCCATTACAAATAACAAATGACATGTTTAACGCACAGTTTCTATTAAAAAACAAAAACAGCTTTGCTGGAAATGAGTGAAGATTTTCACTGATGTGACATTTAGTAGTGTAAGGAGAAGAGGCAGCTTAGCAACAAATGTTAGCCTGGTGATTGGCTTGACTTACAATCATTAAAAATCACAATTTACAGTGATAAACAAACAAACAAACAAACAAACAAACAAACAAAAAATGGGGTCACCACAGCAGGTAGTCCTGCATATCTAAGTTTTACACTAGCAAATCTTTTCTCCAGGTACTTGTGTATAAACTCAGTTTGTATCGAGGCTGCTGCGCCTGCAAGAAACAGTCAAAGCCCTCAAAACTTGCTTGACTTTTAGAGTTTAGATGTAAATACAGGTTTAAAAATCGTTTTACAAACTCAGATTTGACAAGTTTAGCTTAAGTAGGGTGACCATATTTTAATTTCCAAAAAAGGAGGACACTTGGCTCAGTCATGAAAAAGTTGCTTAAAGAAACATATTTAACATATTAAAA